AGAGCATGAAAAGCTGTTGAAGTGAAGGCCAGCTATACATTACAGGGCACTCAGAACTCACTCCAATAGTCACCCGAGACAATCCCATTTTCAAAAGCATCTCAGACACAAGTCAGTCAAAAGAGTCCATTCTTTGTGATTCTCGTTTGCTGCCTTCACCTCATCCAGTCTGAGTCCCAGGACTTAAGGGGAGAAACTCTGTTTCTTGTCTAACTCCCTCAGGTATCTAGACCATTCAAAGGCACATTAAGCTTCCTTCCATCAGTATGCATATAACATCTATTTCCTTGAAGCAATAATGACAAAATTTTTTAAAATTTATTTTTATTTAAATTAGAAACAAGCCTGCTTCATCCACGTGGAATGGACTCCCAATGTTCATTTGAGTGCCAGGGGTAAATACTGATGATCTACTACCCGAGATCCTATAGATTGCCAAGGCCTCCTCACTGACACCCATGTTCAGGGGGTCTGGATCTGTTCCATGCTGGCCTCTCAGCCATCAGTCTGGGGTCCATGTGGTCATGACAAAAATTTTTAATGTTCTTGTTCTTATTTATTCCCCTTTGAAGGGAATGAATTATGCTTTAAAAAAGATTTTAAAACAGACTGATGTGTCCATTGTGCATGTGTTTCAATCTTATAACAAGGAAGGAAAGTATAAAATGGTTTTACTTAAATGAGATTTGCATTGATACCCAAATATTCTAGGTATTTTGGCCATGACACCCGACTAATGCCTGGCAAAACTTGGATTTCAACTTGAGATATCTATTTTCATGTTTCAACCCTTTACCATTAAGTGTCCTTCCTTTCAGTTACACTTTCAGATAAAGGCAGAAACATGGATCTAGAAATGCACATATATATGACTGAATATAAATATGGATGCAAATGTTGGTATATCTGAATATGCTTATATGCTAATTACAGTATTTAAATATGAAATAGTGATTATATGCTATGTCAATTTCAAACTGTGCTCTTTTTTTCTTGCCTTTATAAACTTTATTCCTTCAGTATCTTGCATCACCAACTAGGTTTATTCCTGTCTTGAACTATTTTCTGCACGAGGATAATTGCTTCTTATACCATGGGCAACCAACACTTCCCTGAAATTACTGAAAAGACCCAAGGGACAGATTTGTACCCAGAAGCCTTAGGTGTTAAAACACACTTGGGACTTCAATTGAGGTTGCACATTAGAGCCCTATGGGATGGATATGTCTTATCAGTTCTCCTTGCTTTCCTTTCCTGCTTATTTTTAATAAACAGCAGTAAGTATATGCCCAGAGAAACTTCAAAAATATTGCAAAAGAGAGGTATATTCTTAACCTTGTATTTTCATTGTTAAAGTGAAAATACAAGCTGAAATTGCCAAGGACATCATACATACCTATAACACAAAGATTGCATAATTAGGTATATGTAATTTTAGACTAATGGACAATTCCTTTATGTATGTGAATGATATTTTTCTTTGAGTTATGTTACAGGAGAATTAAAGATAAGATGCAGAAGAAAATCATATTAATTATCAGTTACAGGAGAAATAATGATTTTAACACTTAGGTCAGATGTGTTTGGCATGAGAAGATTGGCCCGCATTTTTGTATGAAAGAAGCAACTCAGTCTATGTAGGATCTCATTCACTGTCTTGGTCACTGGAAAGAAAATAGAAAGAAATTAAAACAGGGAGTTTACTCCAAAGAAAAGGCACTAAAAGTTTCCAATGGGGCAAGTTAAATGATGTTAGAAAATATTCCACATGGACTTTGTTACTTTTCCCTACCTTGTGGTCTTTAAAATCACAGCAAAAAGAATATCTGCTGAGAGTAGCAATACTTATTTAAAAAACTCAGTTTTTGCTATGACATAAATCATTTTTATGATCTTATGTGACTAAAAATTTAAAGGGTTTCTTCCCATACAAAAGCTTAGGCGATGCAAGTAAGTGTCAGGCTCATATAAGTAATTATTTCAAAGAATGAACTTACTTGAAAATATAATGAAAGAGCTATATTGCCCATGTCTACAAAAGCAATTTCGGAGTCAAAGTGTAAAACAGGGAAAGAAAAGCACGCGTAGAAAGAAAATGCTATAAAAATTAAAAGGAACAAGATATTGCTGTTTTTAAGTTCAATGATTATATAGCTGTAAAACTAGTTAGTGTTTCTGATGAACTTTAGTTCAACCACTATGAACAAAAAAAGGAAATAAGTTCCAAATAGTTTTACTTGCATTTGAAGAAAAATATTGAAATTTCTGAAACTATTTCTATTTGGAGGACGAAATATTTACAAGAGAGATGAAGAAATAGATTCACTTGCTATCTAATTGTCACCTGTTTTTCAATAGTGAGAGAAAGATGGGGGTGAGGAATATTAAAAGGTATTTGGAAACTTATAATATACATATCTACGCTGGCTTTAGCACCCATATAATGTGAAGATAAAGATTGTAGTACCATGTATAAATTATTGAGCTAACAAGGTTGAAATCTAAGGTCAGAATATTTGCTTACTATAAACTAGCACATGTTTTTCTAACCCCATAATGCTGATCTAATAGAGTTGAAAAGGTTTAGGGAAGAATTTGCAAAACCAGAACTGATTAGTAAAATCAGATACTAATTTAACATATTTTAATGAAATGAAGGGAATTTTAATTCTTTTTATACTGTAACACTTCCAAAATAATAAAGAGTGTCTTTGCAGGTTAATTCATGTATATTCATGCCATCTTATGAATATCTATTTTCTGAGTAAATCCATATAGAGGAGAATAATGCTAGGCAGGATCCTTATTTACCTTTGAGGGAGTTGAAGGGACAGCAGCAGCAGAATTACAGAACAAAAAGGACACAAGAAATCAATACTCCTACTCACTGTAAATCCTATGAATAATGAGACCAGCATGTCAAGCTATAATCAAGAACATAATAGTAGCACGTATAGGTTGGGGATAAACATCAGCAATCTAATTTAATGTAAGCCCACTTAATAAGAGAGAATTCATGCCTGGTGCTACACCCAGAGCTGGTGAGGTCACAGGACCCTACACAGAACTGGTCAAAATATAGAGACCAACTTATCATGGAATGCCCAGCCCAAACTGATTTATCTGCAACACATCTTCTACACCTAAGGCCAAAAGAATATTGCATAAGAGCATGGAGAAAGACAGTAAAATCCATAGGACCAGGATATGTGCTGTGAAATAGTATTTTCTGTTTATAACAGGGAAGCTGACTCCATAAAATATAAAAAATATGTTTCCATAAACAAGACCTAAACATTGAGATCACCAGCTGACATGTCAATGTAGATGGGGACAATATTCTAAGGCTAAGGCTCTATCCTTACATGAAGAACTATAGTCATTTGATAGCTGAGAAAGGAAGAATCAGTCTTCTAGGAGAGCCCCCTTTCCAATTCCAAGTAGTCAGCCCTAAACACATATGTATGCAAGCAACACTATATGGACTCAGAAGGCTGTATTTATGCATACATGAATAATGTGTATATATACATAGATAATATTGTATATATTTTATGTAGCATATATGTATATATTATATAGAGGTTATATACACTATGTTTCAGATATATTACATAAATTTATATATAATCTCTCTTTCTCTCTCTCTCTCTCTCTCTCTCTCTCTCTCTCTCTCTCTGTGTGTGTGTGTGTGTGTGTGTATGTGTATGTGTATGTGTATTTACTTGCTGGAACAATCAAACATGAAAAATTACCTATAGACAAAGAAAAATAGAATGGTATTAGTGAGAGAAGAAAGGGATACTGTCTCACATTATGTGAGAAGTATTTTCAAAGGACTGACATTTCAGGCAAACTGTAAGATACCATATTATCTGAAATATAGAGTGTTAGCGAGTTCTGGTGAATGTGAGCAGCAGAACAGAAGGTTAGATGAACCAGTATTATGCAACAAGTCCAGTGAGCTGGAGCAACATGGACAGAGGAGAGTTGGAGATGAGCATTAAGAAGTGAATCCTGGGCAGTAAGGTATTATAAATAGTTCTGGATGCTACAGTTAAAGTACTGCAGAAGAACTAAAATGGGATAGCTAAAGTAGCAACTTTTCTTAACTATTTCCAGGATAGGACCTAATAATAAATGCCACTTGCTGTTTTACAGTGAAAGTGCTGAAATTCTAGTTAAATGAAATTTGGCATGACCAAATTTAAAATAGTCTCATTTATGGTGTCAGACATGTGAACAGAAGCACTGAATATGTGCTTGATTTTTTTTTCTTTATTTTTTGAGACAGGGTTTCTCTGTGGCTTTGGAGACTGTCCTGGAACTAGCTCTTCTAGACCAGGCTGGTCTCGAATTCACAGAGATCCACCTGCCTCTGCCTCCCAAGTGCTGGGATTAAAGGCGTGCGCCACCAATGCCTGGCTAATTTGTCTTGGTTTTAATTCTTTTTTTTTCTTTTATAAATTTTATTTAAATTAGAAACAATCTTATTTTATAAGAACTGGTATTTTAATTATTTTTGATTGCCAGTAGTTATTCTCAATTTGAAATCCACCCAACCTTTGGATATGAGTCAGTATTAGTTGTTACAACAAAGGAATGGGGCTTTACTAGTGTTCTAGACATTAAACGTATTTATTGTATTTCAATATGCTTGATAATAATCTAACCTAATAATCTTTG